AAGAGAAAACAATTGTTAGATGCTGCTAAAAGGAATTTTTTTTTCCTTTGAGTTCGCAAGTCCGCGAAAAAGGGTACATGAATAGCTTCTGGTCTGAAAGACATGAATTTACGATTAAAATGGTTGCAAATTAGAGGTTAAATTTAAATTTGTCGAAAAGGATTGTAAACTATGTATAGCAACTGTGTACGTTTTGATGTAAAATGAATCAGAAAATTTTACATGTTAAATGTGGAAAAATGTTTGTGCTAAAACTACATTTTATGTGATGATTGTAAAAGTGCTTTAAAGTTTAAACTTTGTTTAAATGAAATATTTGAAAGAAAGTTAATAGAATGAATGTGTTTACGCTAGGCTTTCCAGTTAACGAAAGTTTAAAACACTTTCGCGTGTGTAGTTCTCTAAGTATAGTATTAAGGTGTCATTTGAGGTCTAGAATGTCTAGACTTCATTTTTACTTTTAGGAAGTTGTTTAGATTGTAGTGCTGTTCGTTTTAACATAATACTTACACGCTCGCTTCACAACGGAACAAACTTCTGGGAAGCGTTGGGGGAAAATGAGTGAATGAAATCTGATTGAGGGCCAAATAAATGTAATAGAATGTAAATTGGAAAATTTTTCTTTGCATAGAGTACTAATACTTTTCCCTTCCAGATATAATGGAAGGACGAGATAAGTTATTATGATGTTTTCAAGATCGCAAGACGATATATGTAATTTCAGTTAAGCAAGAAAATTTGTTAAAAATGATTTTCTTTATCTTAGTTTTAACATAGGTTTATATCACTTTGTAAAGTTGGCCCTAAAAGGAAGTTAAAACTTCCATTTCAGTAGTGTAATTGAATAGAGAAATCAAAAGTGTTAGAATCTAAATTGTTAGAAAGTAAAATTTAGAAAAAGTTTTTCTAGAATTTAAAATTCTCAACAAAGTTGCTGTGAGACCTTTTTTGTTCGAGTACTTAAATTCCGGTGTGGAAATAGGGGAACCAGAATGAGTTTTTAGAATCGCTTTGAATGCAAATGAGTAGAAATAGTATTTAAAGAAGGTTCAACTTACTTTCTGAGACAGAACTAGGAATCCTGAGTAGTGCGTGTTTGCATTCGGGCTAAGTCTCGTTAGAAGCTGTTACGCTCGGCCGTATATTACGTGCCTTTTGATACTCGCTGGCTAGTTTATATTAAGGGGTCAACTACGTTAGATTTGTGTTAACTTCGGTTAAATCTTAGTTAAATATAGTTAGTTCTTATTTTTGAGTTTAAGTCCAAGTGGAGGCTCTGTTGCAAGCTCGAAGAAAGGGGGCGACTGCTCATCTTATTTTAAATAAAGGGTAGTTAACCCTTCTTGAGTTTACGATTCCTCTTATTTGAACTCAGCGATAAATTGCTTAACAGCTCATTATATTCCTCGACATTTACTTTAGTAAAATAAGAGTGAGGAACTCTACAAACTCTTAAGCTTTATCACATATGATGGGGTCACGAAGATAAAAAGCATGTAAAAGCCTTTTTTGAGAAAGAGTTAAACATTAAGGTTAAGTCTGATATGAAATTATGTGAATCCTGTGTATATGGAAAAGGCCACTGATTAAAGTTTGGAAACAGAAAAGAAATTAAAAAAGCTGGAGAATTGTTCTTGACGGATATTTGTGGGCTATTTGTTGAACCATTTAAGTGTGTGTGATTATGGCAAAGCCTCGAGGTCTATCTGCCTAAGGGGAGGGATGCCTTCGTGGAGGACTTTCTAAGGGAAACTGGCTCGTATACACGTTACACATGGGGAAAACCACAAAAACGCCCATGCAACCAGCCCGTTTGCAGGATTGAACCATTTAAGAAATATCGATACTTCACAATCTTCAAAAATGCCTACACTAGATTTTGACAGTGTTTTTTCTTAAAGCATAAATCAGAAATAAAGAATGTGCTTGTAAATTTTATAGCTCATGCTAAGAACTTAGGGCATAAAGTTAAAGAAATTCTCTGTGACAAAGGTGCAGTGTTTGCCTACCAACCAGTTTGAAACATCTTGACAAATCATGGAATCTCGCAGAGGTTCAAAACTCAACATACACCAGAGCAAAATGGCGTTACCAAACGAAACAATAGAACAATTCTCGAAATGGCCAGAACTCTCAAATATTCGAATGAAAGAGTGGACTTTCCAGCTTTCCTATGAGCACAGTTCGTCAGGACTTCAGTTTACATACTGAATAGGGGCAAGTCTTCAGTTCCTAATTCAAGTCCTTATGTATTATGGATGCTAAACAATCCTAGAATAAAATATATTCGCATCATTGGATCAGCCTGCTATGCTCACATTCCAGTTCAGAAGAGGGAAAAGATGGACAAAAAGGCAACTAAAGGCTTCTTGGGTATGATGGAGATAAAAGGTACCGCATTTACATCAAGGAAACCTGCACAGTAACTTGTTCCCGAGGTGTCATATTTGAAGAGAAACCTTCCATAACAGGAAATATTATAACATTGCCCCTTCAAAAAGTGTCTCATATCTATCTCAATATGATGTTAAAAATAAAGAAAGAACAGATGAAGTCTCCAAACAGGAAGAAGAGAAAATGGAGGATATACCAGAACAGGGAACTTGACTCAGAAGATAAATTTCAGCAGACAAAAAATCACATCATGGAAGATTCAGAGATTTATGAAGAAAATTTTCCAGAAATAAACAGAATTGCAAGTGGAATCCAGTGCAGCTGACAATTTAAAAAACAGGAATGTGAAGATTCAACACCCAAGAAAGTTTTTCAGAAGGATTCTGAAACTTTGGAAGAGGCATTAACTAACACAGCTGCAGAAAAATGAAGTTAGCCAAGGAAGAAGAGTTGAAAATTTTAAAAGGGAATGAAACTTGGGACATAATGCATATACCAAAAGAAAGGAAAGTTGTGAAATGCAAGTGGGTCTTCAAAAGAAAACTTAATAAAGATAGACAGGTAGAAAGACATAAAGCTCATTCAGTTGCTCGTGGCTAAAACCAAGTCAAAGGAATTGACTACAAGGAGACGTTTTCTCCTGTAATAAAAACAAAGTCAATTAGAACTTTATTTGCATTCTCAGGGAAGCAAGACTGGCAGGTTCATCAGTTGGATATTACGGCAACCTACTTAAATGAAAAATTAATTGAGACAATTCTCATGGAAGCCACTAGTGAGTCTGAACATGAAACAACATGAGGAATTTTGTTTTAAAAGTAGAATTCATTATGATCATTTAGTAGCAAAATGCAAGAAAGCAAGAGAAATAATATATCGGCCAGGAATGTCAAAAGAAATTGAAGATTTGGTTCCGAATTGTCCACCACGTTTTAAGTTTACGAAAAGCTAATACTAAAGAACCAATGACATCTAAAGAAATACCTAATGGTCTATGCAAGTTTCTGGAACAGATCTCTTTTACTTTCAAAGCAGGGATTATCTAATAATTCTAAATTATTTTAGCAAATATGTTGAAATTGGACACTGAAAATTTGTCAAGTGTAGCAGTGATAAAGCAATTGAAATAATTTCTTTCAAGGCATGGTATCCTGAAAATAGTATAGTCGGATAATGATCCACAATATAGTTGCAAGAAATTTAAAGAATTTGCAAGGAGACAAAATTTTGAAATCATAACTTCAGGCCCAAATTACCCACAATCAAATAGAATAGTTGAAAGATATATTCAGACTGTAAAGCGAATGCTAAAAAAAGCTGTAGTTGACAATAATGATCCATATTTAGTATTACTGGAATACCGTAACTCTCCAAATTCAGCTGAAATTAAGTCACCTTCAGAATTGATGTTCGGAAGAAAAGTAAATGGATTCATGCCTATAAAAGGGAATTTCATCCAAACTAAATGACATAAAGAACTCAAACATTTACTGAAGAGACAAACCTTACAGAAAAGCTATAATGATACGAATGCAAGACCATTAAAACCACTGAAGGTAGGAGAACATGTGTCATAAAATAGAAAGTGAAAAAGCTAAAAGAAAGTAGGAAAACCGTAGAAGCAGAAAGACCACATTCATACAGAATTATAAGAACAGATGGGAAAAACTGAAGAAACGAACAAAAGGGACATTCTTAAAGGAGCCAATTGGAAAGTTTCTGGAATGCAAAACAACCACGAAAATGAAAGTCATGAAGATGGAAATGTGGATGAACCTGAGATAGCTGAGATTAGTAGAAGTACTTCAAATTTAGATGTGCCTTAAATTCTTCAACACCTAACAGAAGTGTTGTGCCACCAAATACTGAAAGAGGTATTGTGCTACCAAATTTTGCAAATGGACATAACTGCGTTACTTTTATCAAAATTCACAAATCTAGAACTGAAGTAGAAAATTTTCATTTAATAAAAGCCGCAGAACTTCTTTGCACAACAATGACGTAATGAAAATACTGCATATTATGAAAAATACATGACTGCAATTAAAAGCGGTATTTTTAAGAAATTAAAAATAATATGAAAAAGCAATGAAAATACTTTGAAGTCACTTGTAGTTGAAAATCAGTTTAAAAATTTCACCATTATTTTACAAGAAGGAAACGCTATACAATATTGAATTAATTCAGGAAAAACTACCATTTTAAATTATGAAAATGTACATCATAAAAAAATATATTTAATTATTCTTAATAACAGAATTTTAATCTGATTTTTAGAACCATTCAAAACAAACACAAGGACTTTTGAATAATGATATTAATTATTAAAAAAGGTACAAACCAATTATTATTAATTCCTTCCCTCTTCTAATGACACTCAAAATACACACTTAAAAATGAATATATTAATGGAAGTCGAAATAATTTAAAGCAACTGAAAAAATTATATATTTTAACTCATTTTTTTATTATCATAAGCAATAATAAAATATTTGAAAAACTGATACTAGGATATTTTTAATAAAAGATATTAAAAATTTTATTCAAAATGAGGAAATTTATTTATTTATTTTAATTTTATATGAGCAGAAAGAGCCATAGACTACCTTTATAATCTGCCCTTCTTGAAATGATAATTCCTCATTGGCTAAAGCTGGATTCGATGACATGGTATGTGGATCATAATCGTAAACGGCTATGAACATTCTTGGTCGATCCATTGCATTTCTGTGATTTGTTCTTCCCCTGTATCCATTTCCATGATAATCCTCTCGCACTGGGCGAGAATGACTTCTGGGCCCATAGTAGCCACCTTCATTATTCCTATGATATCCACCCATAGTTGGAGATGCGGGACGACTATGATCGCTTGAATAGTACTGTGATGGATTCACACTTTTATGTGATTCGCTATACTGGCCCCGACGACTACCACGTAGATATTCATCATGTGAAGCCAATTCACTATCTCGAGTGATTTCTGAAAAATTAATTTTTACATGGTGATTAATTTAAAATTAAACTAAGATCTTCCAATCCATGTAATCACATTTATTTAGAGCATATAAAAATAAATTTGAATAAAATGAAATTTCTAGCAATAAAACACCCTTTCAGGTAGCAGTAGAAGTGTGGTAACAATTATGTGTTTCTTAGCAGAAATATTACACAGCTGGTAACAATTAAGTCCTTTTCTAGACAAATTCTTCCCAAAATTTATGTCCAAAAGATATATTTACAATACTGTAAACAAAGTGCACTTGGAAAGTTTTAAGACCAAATTCATAAAAAGCCCAGAACTCCTAGAAAACAGTTCTATTTATAATTCCTTCTAAAGCTGTATATCTCTTCAAATATTTACAGAACTTCTAGATGCTTTTGTGAAAGCCAACTGTTACAATGCTCTTTCATTTTCTTTAATGTTTTACTAAATTTCTGAAACTTTAGATCCGTGTCCTTTAATGTATAATTTCATTAAAATAGCTAAGATATATTATAATCATTGCCACTATTTATTAACTGAGATAATACCAGACGAGATGGCTTCTGTAGAAAGCCTAAGTCAGAGGGAATTACTATGGCATTTTAGAGGATAGTATCTAGGCCTTGGTTTCATTGGGTGTACATAATTAGGAAGATATACTGCTGATGCAAAGGGAAAAGACACAGGTAGAAGGATATACACTAACCTCCAAAAGTTTAGGAACAGCATGTTTTTTATGTCTAATTTGAGAATGAAGCAATATAGAAACAAGAAATGTACACGACATGTTCACTAAATAGTTCTTTAATGAATGCGACATAGAATGTTTCTAAAGTTCAACACAAACATAATTACAACAAAAAATTTCACTCTTGGCAGAGAAATCCAGTCTTGGAGAAACAGTATATCACAGTTTTTTGAGGAAAAATAGGGTTGTAACATTACAAAAGTAGGTTCTAATAAGGAATGTGTCCACCCCTAGCTGCAATACATTGGCGGCAGCGACGTTCCATGCTGCAAATTAAGTTGTCGGTCAGTGAAATGGGAAGCAACGACCAGACATGGAATAATCCTTGTTCAAGCTCGTCTAACGACCTTGGAGGAGGACTTAAAGCAGCAACCTATCTCCCAAGGCAGTTCCAAAGATGCTCTATCGGATTCAGGTCTGGAGATTGAGCTAGCCATTCCATCCGCTCCATATCGTGACCTTAAAGATATTCTTTAGAAATCCGAGCTCAGTGAGGTCGCGCATTGTCGTCCATCAGAAGAAATCCAGGACCAACAGCAACGGCATATGGGCAGACATATTGATCAAGGATCTCGTCTCCATATCTCACATGGGTCAAAGTTCCTCCATGGAACACATGCAGTTCAGTATTACCTCTGAGAGAGATCCCTGCTCAAACTAGTGTTATTCCACCACCTCTATAACTGCATCTTTCCAAGTAGATTGGTTGTATCTGTCGTTGTTCCTCCAGTCGCTGATGACCTGACTCACTCTCCAATGTGAACCTGGACTCGTCTGTGAAGAGAACAGACGCCTACTGTTGACTGGTTCAGAAGACTTGTTCTCTTCCCCAAAATAAATGGCACGTCTGTGTCCTCGAGTCAAGGGGACACAAACAACTGGTCATCTTGCATACAGACCTATGTTATGCAGGCGTCTGAGCAATGCAGTAGCTGAGACTCTTGTTCCTGTTGCCACTAAATAATCTGCCATGAGCTGAGGCACAATAATGTTACTTCTCCTTCGGGCTGAAAGAGCTGAATAACGGTCTCTCGCAGGTGTTGTAACTTTAGGTCTGCCTGGAACATGTCTTCTAGATACAGAATCCCCGGATTCAAACTGATTCCATAGTCGGTGGACCGCACTACGAAAGACATTGAGGCGTCTAGCAGCATCAGCTTGTGACATCCCTATTTCCATCCAACCGATCGCCCGTCACCTCAACGAATTGGGCAAATGACTTTTGCTAGACATTGATAGACTATCCTGGATACTGTCGACAAAACTGTAACTGAAGATCAACACTCGTGAGCAAAAATTACAATTTTTGCATTTTTTCTACAATTCCTATATAAGTATTCATTTCTATAAAATAAAAGTGGTAGCTATTGTTTCTGCATATATTTTCTTAAACTTCGTTACTCTCATGCATATGAACTGTGAATTTAAACGTTACTGACATTTTGTAATGGTGAGATTTGAAAAACGTGCTGTTCCACAACTTACGGAGGGTAGTATACATGAAGTGATGCAACTGCAAAACTCCTATGTGTTATGTTACTTATACTACAGTGCGTATTAGAATAATATAAAGAATGCTTGTAGAAGGACTTACTTTAAATACATTGTAATGCAAGTACAAAGTGCAGTAATCAGAGAATGGAGATTATTAGCCATATGTGAATTTTCCATGTGATTATTGAAATGCAATGGTACAGTAATAAAGGAAAAAGAAGAAGATATAAAAAATGCTAAATATAGTGTTGGAATACTAATTACCAAAAAAGTATTGGCAATTAAACTGCTGAGGCAATATTCAGCATAAGCTATAAAATTACACGATATTCAGGTCTACTGAAATTGAAAAAATTAACACCTAAAGCTTTGTAGAAGCATTATACATGTGATCCTGCAAAACAGCTTCATACGAGGGCCATCCGGAATAGATTACGTTTCCGTCTGTGTCGCTAGGGGCGGGCTACGCGGCCATCTGGGGTAGCGTTGCAGCTCAGTCTGAATCTAGCCTGCTAGTGAGAGTTCGTGCTGTGCTCCGTTCAATACTGTGACGGTTTGATGTTGCGTTATTGAAAATCCCGCGAGGTGCGATCAGTAATAAGGTTTCTGACTGCAAAAAACTGTAAACCGATAGAAATCTAGGCAGCTTCGGAAGTGTATGGGGACAACATTATCACTGAAGGTGGAGTGCGTCAGTGGGTCATAAGATTCAAAATGCCGAACCAATGGCCGACGAGATCGAAGGGGAGACCAGCATAGTGACCGCCGAACTTTCGAAAAGCGATGCAAAGTCCGTGAAAATCGAAATAATAAATTTTTCTTAGTTTTCACAATTTCGCGAGTTTGTTGCACGAAATCATCAGCGAAAAGCTTGGTTACCACAAGTTTTGCAAGATGGTCCAAAAATCTTGACAGAGGACCACAAAAATCGCAATGGCTGCAGCGTTGAACTTTTTGACGCTCCCATAAGATGGTGACTCTTTACTCGATCGCATCGTTACTGGTGACGAACACATGGGTGAAACATGTGAACTGTGAAACGAAATTGCAATCATGCAGTGGGGGCACACAAGTTCTCCCCAAAACCCAAGAAATGCATGCAAACAATGTCGGCAAGGAAGATGATGGCGACGTTTTTGGGAAGAAAGGGTAATTTTTGGTGGACTTCCCTGGAAAGAGGCACTACAATAAACTCTCAAAGGTATTGCCAAACTCTCCAAAAACTCAGAAGAGCAATTAAAACAAGTCAGAGGAATGTTGAGCTCTAAGATCTTGTGATTCACGACAACGCCCCCCCACACGCAAATGCACTCGTAAAGTTTCTGATCTTTTAAGTGGGAGTTGTTTCCTCATCGCCGTACAGTCCCGACCTGGCACCGAGCGATTCCACCTATTCCCAGCAATGAAGAAGTGGCTGGCTATGCAGCGTTTTGATGACGACCCACTGCAAGAAGAGGTAACGAGTGGTTGAAGGCGCAGGCGGCCGAATTTTTCGACGAGGAATTTCCAAGCTCGTACATCGCTACGATAAATGCCTTAATTTGTATGGTGATATGTAGAAAGTAGTATTTGAGTGTGGTTTCATCTGTATATAATAAAATTTGTTCCTATACTTGTTTATTTTTTTATTCCAAAACGTAATCTACTTTCTGGATAGCCCGTATTATCGAATTTTAATGTCCAAGCAGTTGTAAAATGCTCAGATATAAAATATCTGTTTAATGTAATTATATTAAAATATAGAAGGGATTTTTATTAATTTTAAATCAATGATTCAAAAAATATTCAAAATAGCAAAAGAAAGTTCACTTTAAAATGTGAAAAAGAAAATAAACTGGATAAACAAGAGTTGAAAAATTACTGAGAAACTGAAAACAACTTGAAAAAGAGTGAAAAAATGTAAAATATAAAACTCATAATATTGTTGCGTGCGTACGGGTTCGTTATGAAATAAATGCACAAGTCCGATGAAAAATGAACAAAATTTATTATTATCACAACAAAATGCTTAAATTTTCAAATTATCATACAGTATTACAATATCTCACAGTAGTTATCTTTTAACTACTCAAATGTCCAATAGAACGTATTCAAAACAGCTAAAGAACGCCAATCCGCGAATTCGTACAATCAACAAGAGCATTTTCTAAACAACAACAAACTAAGCAACTATACGAAACTGAGATGTTTTCCTCCTTTATAAGATTTTAAAATCACGCGCTAGAATTTTCCAGTACTTTCTCGAAATCAAAAAGAGATATTTTTTATTTAATGCACGCGCTCTTGTATTTTCAATTTTCGGCTTAGCTTTCTTTTAATATTCGTCACGCGCTGCACTGCGCGAGAAATAAAACCATTTAATTTATAACTGAACTAACATTAGCTTTTTTAAATAAGGCTGCGCGCTCAGTTATTTTCAATTTCCGGCTAAATGCCTATCAAGCGCTGCACTGCGCGGCAGAAATAAAACCATAAATCATAACAACATAAAAACAAAAGGACATGGCCTTACTTCTACAACATTTACATTACGTATTATGGCCATAGTAATGACCTTACTGTCGTAATGAACGGCTTTAGGTTTAGAGTTCGAAGACTTACGAATCCGAACCACGACGTCATTCAGCCTGTTTAGGACTGTGTACGGGACCCTCCCAAGGTGACTGTAATTTCGGACAAAGTCCTTTCCGTCGAGTCGGATTCCACAACCACACCTTGTCTCCTTCGTGGAATTGATGTTCAGTAGCTCTTGTGT